TCTCTCTCTCTCTCTCTCTTTCTTTCTCTCTCTTTCTTTTTCTCTCTTTGTGTGTGTGTGTGTGTGTGTATGTACTTAATATCTTTACAATATTTTTTTATATACTAATAGTTTTTTATAAAATATTATTTCTTATAATATTTTTTATATAATATTTTTCATATAATTTTTTTTTCATATTTTCCTTAACTAGTTATTGTTCTGAAAAGACTAAAATAATATGTTTAGTTTACGAATTTTTAATATATATTTTAAATCTACTTATCTTAAAGATAAAGAAGACTTGATGATAATGTATTAAAGTAATATCACTCTCTATATAGCATCACACGTAAACAATTTGTATGTTTTTTCTTTTAAATTCATGATTTTTCTCGCTCTTATAGTTTCCTTTTACCATATTTTTATTCATAGAAATATCAAGAGTGCATAAGAAATCTCGATCTTGTAAATGACACGTTCGAAGAGTTCGGAATATCTAAAGAGTATGATAAAGAACGAACAATGAGAAAATGGTCATTGATTTTGTGATTTATGATATTATAGTATTTGTGATAATAAATATTTTTGAAGGTTTTTTTGTGCTTAACGCAGTACAATACGACAATTACTGCAATGATTATACATTGAATTCCAAATTCCTCTGGACATGTCAATACTTTACACGACTTGACGATTATGTATATGTTAAAGTAATATGTTCTTGTTATTATTAAAAGATCACAACATTCTAAATAAAATACATTAATCTGTTAACTTTTTTGATAAAAAAATTAGTGTATAAAATAGGCTTTTTTTCTTTGTTACTATCACAGATATATACTAGATTGGATGTAATAGATTGGATAAAATAAACGACCGTATTGTGCACCTCTCAGAGAATGAGAATTGTGAATTAAAATGCATGTGGAAAAAGTCTCTAATTGTCAGACGTCGCTAAGGTCGAAACACAGAATACCGCAAGAATGTATTGTGGACTGCAATGTAAGTAATATATCTTAAGAACTGGTAAAAATATTTAAGAAACACTAAGTACAAAAATAATTTTTATCGTGTATAACAACTATTGTTCTTTACTTGTACAGTTATAATTTTGCATAGAAAATGTCTTCTAATTCATATCATAACATATATAACATATAAATAGTGCTTTTCTATTTATAGACATCTTTATTTGGAACTTTGTTATATTGCTCGTAATATAACAATGTAGAATGCTAATAACTGTGCAGATGGCATCTTTTTTGTCTGTTTCATAGGATTATTATATTCTCAATGTCGTGCACTGTTGTCTTATCTACATATATATATGAGAGCGGGATAGTAAAAGTAATGCTGCAATTCTGTAGTGAAATATGAACCACTTGTTTTTTAATTAAACTTGTAACGTTAAATCATATCTGTGAAAATGTTAGTGTCAAGATACTATACCTTTCTGTAAATTATTTGAAGATGTAACTCTACTTTTTGTTATTTGTTATTCAATTTAACTTCCTTTCTTCTATTCTAAAATATTCTTTTCTAAAATATTCTCTAATTCTAAACTACTCTGTTTGGTACAAATCAAAATATAGCAATAAAATATAATTTAAAAAGATTAAGAAAAGAATAACAAAACTTTCCAAACCTTTCTAAATTAAAGTTATATTACATATTCTTGACATTGATAATTAGGGAACTTTAATGCATGTCTGAAAAAATAGATGACTTAATGATACGCAACTATACAAATGAATTTACTTAAGAAATTATCTAAATAAAAACTTTAAAATTATTTCTGTTTCCAAAAGTTTATTTTACATTATTTTAGGCAGATAAAGTCAGAATAATCATTTTTGTGAAATTTGTACGGTATCTGATTAGTTTTTTATAAGTAGTTAAGTTTCATTACTTTTCTAACAATTAAAACATGTAAAATAAAATATACAGCAGAACTTTTTTATTCTTTCAATTGTCAAATTACATTTTTTCAGAAATATTTCTTATCGGTATCATTCATTTTTATTTTTCTTCTTCGATACTAACTCAATA